CGCTTACCTCTATTTTTGGAAGCTCAGTCATTAGCCTTTGCTCAGACTTTCACTGCTTTTCCATGTGTTATTTTCCTGGCCGACAGCATCAGATGATCCCATTGTGTCACAGACTGGTTATCAGGCACAAAATTGGCCAGAGAGTTGCTTAGGGAGAAAACCCAAGTCATTGGTGTGGCTCAAGAATTTGCATATCTTTTGCAGGAGATATAGCAAAGAAGACATAGTATAATTCAGGTGAACCAAGGAAACAGAGGACAGATGCCTTACTAACTGGCAATTAATTAGGCTGCCAGAGAGCAAAAGTGAATGCTGTTCTGAGCTGTACTGTAACCAGGATCCAGACAGGGCTGAGTAAATAACACGCTTTCAGAAACACGAGAAGAGCATGATCTTGATATCCTTACTGGCACTGCTCATCCGTTGGTTTATTATAGGTGAGGGTTAAGACTGTGGCTTCCAAACATCATAGCCAAGCATGGAAATTGTTTTAATGAGACCTGCTATGTGGAAACAATTAGCTTTTAAAAATAATTGTTGTGGAAGCTGTGTTAGAGAACAGCATGATTATTGACAGCAATATTGCCTGGGCCTGTGACAGAACTGGCAGTAACTTAGAATTAGTAGTCACAGGAGAGCACTTCTCATCTTTAGAGGCTGTCTTTAAACAGCTCTCTTGTGAAAATCCTTTTTTTTTTTTTTTTTTAATTTCTCTCCTACAACTGGGTTTGACAATCCACTCTCTCCTCTTTACAGTGAGTAAATTCAAAAATTGTTTAGTAGAAAAGAAGCAGCTGCTGGAAAGAGAGCCTGGAAAATGCCTTTTGGCTAATGGAGCTCCTCCAGGAGGTACAGTTATTGTCTATACCAAATGCATCCCTCTCTGCTGTTGGAATAAAGTGTGAGAGAGAGTCACGTAACAAAAACATGCTAAGGACAAGATACATGATTTTCTAGAGGTGTAAATGAGCTTACAGGTGCCTTTTCATGTTGGGGGGGATTATCTAAGGAATAGGGTGTTGTGGTCCATAGGACACATTTCTAGATCCCCTGGGCCCAGGCTTTCTTTGTGCAGAGTGGGAAACCTGTCCCTTCAGGCACAGGAACAAGGGTGATGCCAACATATTGAAGTATGTTTCTATCTGAGAATAAGATATCAAAACAAAAAAGTCTGGTTGGGAGTTTCAGGGGTCCTGCACAATGTTGTATTTAGTCCCTCTGTTGGGCTGGAGGGAAAAGCTAATAGTGGCTATCTGGTTTTTACATCTCTACAGGACAATACCTGTGCCTTTAGCATTTACAGTCACTCAACTCGCAATTCAGTGACTCTACTGAGAAACTAAGAAAATGCTGATGTTGATATTTTAAACCATCAAGAAATGAGGACACTAAGCTTGGGTCACCAACCTTGATAAGGCAGTACAGATAGTATCTGACCTGGAAAAAACATACATACACTATCTGGGCATATCAAATGAGGCTGAAAGCTGTTAAAAGGTCATGGAACTGCTCCTCCCTGTGAAACTAGAGAGCACTGATACCCTGCTCCTTCTCCTCTGGGGAGATTCTGTTCCACATATCAGCTAAAAGGTTGGGACATTTTAAAACAAAGGGCAAGATTTTAGAATCTAGTTCAAGAAAGCAGAGTCCTCTTTTGGGCTACCTAAATAATGGTTGTAAGCAAGGTTTGGTTTTTGTGTCACACAGGAAGAAATAAGAACAACAAAAAAGGAAAACAGGGAAATAAACATCATGCTAGAAGTAGTGACCAATTTGTTTTCCCTTGCAAAGATCTCAATTTGAATATGCATTTCTGCTAGCTCCCATATAGCTCTTCCTGAACAAAAACAAACAATAGGAGGACTTGGAAAGGAGAAACATTTTCTACTGCTTAAAACTTAACTCATCTCAGCTCTTGGTTTATGCAGTGCAATTCTAAAGAAAGATTTCGGAGTGACTCTGGATATGTCTCTGAAAACACCGGCTGGATGCTCTGATGTGGTCATGAAGCAGTTAGAAATTTCAGAAGAGCTGTGAGGGAAAGTGAGAATAAAGCAGAAAGCATATTGTGTCAGTGTGTTAATCCAAGGTATGCTCATAGCTGACATACTGGGAGCAGTTCTGATCATGTCATCTTAGAAAGTACAGTTTGAAACTAGAAAAGGATCAGAGATTATCAAGAAGGGTAATGGGAGGCATGGAAAACCTTCCAGCTAGAGAAGGTAAAACACTGGTGCTCTTACCTTGGGAAGGAGGCAAACATGGACATGTAACATTAATGTATGAAACAGTGAAAGATGTGCAGAGAGTGAACAAGGAACAATTTTTCACTATTTCTCATGCAGAGCAGCATGTAAGCATAAAAGAGATTATAAAGTTGCAGATTAAAACAAGTTTGAAAGAAACTGCCATTTTCATACATAAATAAATTGTAAGCTTCTTGCTACAGTCAGGATGCAACCTCTGGCTCAGGGTATACCTAGGTGTTGGCTTGAAACCTGAAGGATATATTGGGGGAAGTATTTCTCTACATAAGCTTTCTTTTTACCTGCTCTTAACCATTGTTGGAAGAGGAAACTGTTCTAAAAGCACCATTGGCATTATTCAATGAAGCACTTCTCACCAGGACCCTGCTTGATTCAGGTCAAGTTTTTGGAAGAGCAACCAACTGAAGTAAAATGGCTGGAGTGCCATGTTAGCATTCCGAGAACAACAGACAGTTACAGGATCCACATAGTTCTGTTATTCAGCTCATAGTTATCATCTACACTTTTGACAGCTGCGTGCTCCCTCTTCTGTACCACTACAAAGTGTTGGGACCCAACCTATGTACTTAGAAGACAGCAGAACGACTCTTGTTGCAGCTGCCCCTTCCAGAGAAAGAAGAAGAGAGGAAAAGCCATCTAGAAAATTGCTTTTCTGGTCCTGAGCACATACACACAAGGGCCAACCAAAGGGTACAATAACATGAATGATCCAGGAGCAGTAATCCAGAAAATAATCAGATGGCTGCAGTGAAAGGTGACTCAATGAAGAGACATGCAGCTTAGAAAACTCAGAAGAGAGTGTGAAGCAACTGTCCATGTTCAGTGTTTTTATCCTAGTCACCATACCTCAATAAAAGTCCCAGTTCCATCCCTGTTGATGGAGATGTCTAGCATAATCTGGAGGTTTTGGGGGGGTGTTTTCATAAAGCCAGTTGTGGAAGGCAGAAAAAATGAAAGTGAGATATTCAATTTTAAACACTTAGAGTGTTTGATTAAAAAAACAACCATCAAACAAACATAACCGATAGCAGTTTATTCTTTCCTTTTCTAATAATTTTAGAGAGTTATAAGTGAAAGATAAGGAAAAAAAAACTTGTAAGAAAGACATCAACAAAAGGCCTGGCAGGGAGTGATGGGAACTGCTATGTATGCTCCTCATTAATTCCCTACTTGAGCGTGTAATCTGGACCTTAACTGAAAACTAAACTAACAGGATAACCAAATTCTCCTTTAGGAACAAAAAGCAAGTCTGGATTAAGCAGTGCTGAAAATGCCTGAGCTGAAATTTTCACCACATTTCATCTACTTTTATGAAAATAGTAACTTCTTGATGTTTAAACTGAAGTTCAAATGATACTGTGGTCCTTCTCAATCTAAAACCAACCAGGAATCAAGTGGCCTCCTTCAGGCCTCCTAAAGGATTCAGCCAAAAGCCCCTAGGAGATCCAGTGTCAGTTAGAGTCAAAATTCCAGGTTTGTCCCATTTTAAATTAAGACAGGAATAAAAGCCACCTGCTAAATAAAGTGGCTCCTTACAGAGCCACTTTTTCAGTTCATTTCTGAAAAATAATTAAAAATACTTTGCCTTTGATGTTTCTTACCATTTATTTAATGAGTTCTCACAACGCATTTGTGGTTGAGTGCAGTGATTGCACCACATTGTTGGCCAACCAAGAAGCAAAGCCATGAGGGAGGGAATGTGAAGTTCAGGCAAGGAAGTAGATGGATAAGGAGAAGAGATGACAGTAAGAAAGCCAGTAAGAGTGCTAGAGAATGGGAGACTCATTTAACAGGTGCTGGGATTGGGAGAGAACTCACTCTGAGTAAAGGGACAGGCACAAAGAAACAAAGGAAAGAAAGGTGGGAGAATGAAACTGGATCCATGTAGTCTCACATACACATGAATAGTCTCACATGAATAGATTATTAACACATATTTTGGAAACTGAGTCTTCCTGGTATGATTTGCATTGGTGGCACCTCTGGAGCCTAGTACTTTTGCAGGGCTGCAGCCTGAGGAAAACATTAGCCCAAGTATGTATCTGTAATCTTATGTTATACAGGTGTAACATTCTCAGGGGCCCAGTGCTAGTATGAGTTCTGATTATATATGTACAGCATGCTGCTTACAGACACCAGTGTAAGCTACCCAGGGTATGGGAAACATGTTAGCCATGTTAGCAGTACCTGTCTGGGCTAACAAGCCTTCCTGAGAAACCATGTACCTTAATTCTGCTTCTGTGTCTATGCACATAAGTGGTAAGCTTATGCTGTGTAGACAAATCTCCAGAACCAGGAACAGACTCACATATGATTTCCCTTGGCAAAGTTGAGACAGAGATTAATAGTCACTTTGGGGATTTATAAAAGGCTGAAAGCTAATTAGGATATTCCATAGATGTAGGAGTTAAGAGTTGTATCGCATTGGGAAAGGAGGAGGGACTTATTTAGAGTTTTGTTAACACAATTTATAACCATTTTAAAAATTAGCCCCAAATGACTGCCTCAAATATGGTTCACTCTTTAGAATCCCACCCAGAATCCCACTCATTTATCTGTGCTATGTTAAATGGTATTACTTCACTCAGCTCTCCACTTTCAATGGATTGGGTTGGTACAGGAGAGCAGTCAGAATGGCAGCACTGGTTACTGGGCAATACACTGCCCTACGTTTTCTGTAGAGAGACTTAAATGCATTATTACTTTGAATATATTTGCACACTAACATTTTAGTTAGGGACCAGACAATTTCAGGACTGTAAATTTGGAAAAGTTAGAGGTTATGAGTTCAGATACAATCTTCAGAATTACTCATTGGTCTCAATGACTTCGGGATCTACCAAAACTGGATATACAAACTCTCCAAGTCCCAAACCGAGAAGCTTTTAAATGCACATTGCTATAAGGTATTTTGTTTATTCTCTCTACTTAGATTTAATATCAAGACACATCAGTGTTATATTTATAATGATGATTTGTCAAAACTACATTTAGTTAGGTGCTTAATATCTCTGAAGCCATGACTATTAAAAATGGTATCTTGCTTATCAAACAGGAGATCGCAAAAATTTTGAGTACTTTAATCTTATTTTGAAGTGTTTCTTAACAGCTTTTTTTCTGAATTTAACTATATTCTTTTTATTTCAGATTGAAAGATTCCAATTTAATGATTGAAGATCAATCCTATAAGATGAGTCCCAAAGCAAAGAGAGCAAAACAGAATTTAGTATCTGAGGACAAAGAGAACAAAGCCATAGACTACTCAGTGCCCATATTCACAGGACGGTATGTTCATTTTGCCTTTGTTTAGTATCTTATTTCTGACATTTTATTAACAAATTATAAAATAACAAATCCATTAATCATTTTTTACACTCATGGATCTTGAGGTGATTGTTTGGACTTTACATGAGTGATAAAAAGACAAACAGAAGTCAACTGACTGGCAGAAAATCAGACATTGAGCATCCAGAGCCAGGACAAATGAACCTAGGTGTCTGGACTTTGTTTTGAACACATCGCCAGGGCCACTTTCTATGACATTAAGATATAATTATAACCCTGCTTATTGGGAACAGACAAGCATGTTGTCCACATAATTTAGCTTATTTTTTTGGTTTGAAGACTTTTTCTGTAGTTCAATGTCTCTTACCAAGCATTAAACATAGAAACAATGAAGCAAGTGCTAATGTTTTGTCCTGTCACAGGGAAAACCTGGAATGAAACCAAATGCTTTCTCAAATCATCATAATGATTCATACTGATCTCACACGTTGATGGCATTTATTGCATGGTTACTACTGATGTAATATGTCTTACTGCAGCAGTGTCCTCAGTAAAGCTGAATGTGAACTTTATGTGGAAGCCAGAACCAACAAGAGCAAGGAGGGTCCCCTGCCATTTTTAGGGTACAGCATACTGATTTTATTAGGAGTCTGACAGTTCGAGCATAGTCACTTACTCAGATTGATACATGCTGGGGTGTGCTGTGGAAAACTGGTTCCTTACTGGAGGCCAGGAGAAAAATTTCTTGCCCACCTGCAGCTGAACAGGAACCTTCCTTCAATTTGTCTTCTGCAGCTCAGCATTTCCATGGGACACTTCCAAGCTGATTCTGGGAACCAGTACTTTTCTGTCTACTGCTTAATCAACACCCACTGGCAATTCTGCTTTGTGTCCAAACTTGTACTTTCCTGTGAAACTAAGTTCCATCTTGTCAGTGGGAGATGTTGTTGCTTTGGCCTTTTGAGTGTTTGCGATGCTTTTGTGATGAGATCAGCAGTTTTGGTTTTTATTAATTCCCTCCTACTACCCCAGAGTAATTTTTTTCTCACCCCTTGCACATTTCTGTGTTGGATTCATGGCACTTTGATTCAACCAACATTCAGAAGCACACACCATTGCATTTTTTAATAATTTCTTCAGAATTTCAGTTAGAGCTTCTGTGACAGAAATACATAAATATGTTTCACACAAAACTTGCAGTAACATCTTTTCAAGGCTTCTCACTACTTTTTCACTTCACCCAGTGTTTCTGCTTACGTAGTAGTAGATTTTCAGTTCACCACCATCTGTCTCCCATACCCTCAAACACAAATATCCTCTCTTTTTATTGTGTCTAGAGTGTACAAAAGTAAAATTTATAGTGTTGGTCAGTAGCTGAAAATCATGACTGATAGCTAGTACTCCTGGATGACAATCTTAGCTTTTTACAGGCCACTGTGATGTTAACACACCATGTTAACATCTTAACAAATCTTAACAAATAACCTTTTTAATTTTCCTTTTTTGTAAAATGAATACCGTAATGTCTAACTCAGTGTGATGGTGTGTATCTTCGTTTATTTGTGTCTGTGCAATACTTTGGGTTCCTACATTAAAAGATACTGATGGATTCTTATATAATGGTGACTACTCTTCTTCTTCTTACTGCTGTTGGTATCAATCTTACTTTTTGCAAATGGCAACTTAGGAAGCTGTGTGTGCTTTTGTGGCACTGAAATGACCCAAACATTTTTTTTTAATTAGCTAAAAAATATGAAAAAGGCATATATTGATTGTTAGGGTGCCCAACTCAACATAGCATGAAATCATTGGGGAATCTGTTTTAGGCTTTTTTTCTGTTGGCATCATGTTCATGACCATATGCCAAGACTGTGGAAGTTGCATGCCACGTTCCTGTCAGATATTTATTTTTGTTTGAAAGATAACAGCTGAAGCCCATTGAACCATGTGCATGTTGTGTGTCATTCCCAAATTGCCCTGTGAAATTGATGTGTTGTTTCCCATGGGCAGATAGTTTTTACAAGGAATAGGTATTTATAAAGGTCAGCTCTCTGTGGTTTCATTGGAGCTGCTGCTGGATGACCTTCAGCAATGTGTCACCATTTCCATTATTTGGTTCCATTTCAGAGCCCTCAGGTTCTGCTGTAAAAAAACTCCCTTGCTCAGATTATTCACTTCACAACTGTTCTTAAACACTTAGCCTAGTCCTTGCAAGATAAAATTAAGGACAGCCAGACAGTATTCTAGATGATAAAACACAGCTTGATTTAATGCCATAGGTGCTAAGATACTGGATTTGGCTCATGGAAGTATTTGCAACCACTAACAAGCTTATGCCAAAGGACTGACGATGACAGATACCCTTTAAATGATATTTTGTGTGTGCCATTTGGGGTTTGATCTCAAATGTTTCTGTGTATTCTACTGAAACCCCTGAGACTTGACTGCAGAATCAGTTCTTAAATGGTGCTGCCTGCTGTTTCTGATGCATTTATCCTTTCAAGAAACTTGTTTCTCTTTGATCTGGGAAGATCATAACAGGAAGAAATTATTAGCAAATCTAAATATTTAATACTGTTGATCAAAACCATTTGGGGACCACTACTGCAGATGACTAGGCTGAGTCCTACATTAGTCTGAGGATATTAATCAGCTCCCAGAAGATGCTTTATGCCTTGAGGAGTGGGTCCATACTGCAAAGTTGCTAAGTTCTTAACTACCCTGATTAAGGAGCAAATAATGTTGGCTTGCCTTTGAAGAAAAATGTCATTGATTAATCTAAACTGAATGTAGATAGCTAAATTCATATTAATTAAACTGAGTTTTCAAAATTGTCTTTAGAAATTTCTGCCACATCTCTGCAGCTTCAGATGATATTTGTGGGCAGAGCTGATGTGCCTAAGTGAAAGGAATCAGTCATCCCACTGATACTTTTCAGGCTCATCCTGTTAAAGCAGCCTGAAACACAGAAAGTTCAAGGCAGAGTTTGAACAAATGAGGGAGGTCAAAGCTCTATGCTGTTAAGTTTTTTAGTCTTTTGAGCATTTTTTATGCATAAATAAATTTACAACACTTTCCACTGTTTGACTATCTTGCATCTCACCAAACTGACTTCATAGCCCAAAGATAATGGGCTGGACAGTTAATTATGGGCTTGAATCCAAATTTTCTTGAGTGTTGGGATGTGCTATCAAATGCACAATATTAGCAATCTTAAAGAAAAAGAAGAAAAAAAAATTCTTCCTAATCTTTTTGCTTTGTAACAGTAGTAAGTGTTTTATGGTAAAATAGTGAGGCTGTGCTTGAGTGCATTCTGGAAATAAACAGAGGCTGCTTTCTCTATAGTGCTTGCGTGATGGCATTTAATGAGAACTTAAACAGAACCTTTTGCCATCTAATGTTACCCTAAAGCAACTAAACTCAGCAGAAGCATATTAATGCTTCTCCTTAAGTCAAGAGACTCTCATTGTATATGCACTACTATAGCAGCTATAGTGTCCTGACAGTGCCAAAAAATACGGCTGCCATGGTAATTCCACATGTGCATATGGAAACAGGTTTGGAACCATTGAGAGTAACTGTTCTTTGCATCTCGCCTCTGTAGAAATCCCAAGGAGGGTGCTTCAAGAAAATCCTTAATCGTCTTCTTGAAAACATTTGGAAGAACAGTCACCCTACTAACATTACAGGATTGAATTTTCTATTAATAAAGAGAACTTCTTGTGATATATAGTGATATTTTTTTTTTTTATAAATCACAAATTAGGATATAATTATCTCCTGCCCCTTTGGTAGTGTTATTATGAATGCTGCAGCTGTAAGTCAATGACTGAAGATCTGTGGGCATGCCTTACACTGATCTTTGTAGTGATGGAGATATAAAAACCACAGCAGGATAATGATTAAACTGAAAATGTGTGTGGGATAGTTATACAGAGACATGCTGAAAATGATCATGACTTTAGACAGTGAAATAGTCATTCTGCAGTACTCTTCCATGTTTCTGCTTTGAATACATATGAGACTGTACTAGCATAAATGTGTTGTG